TACCAACATGGGCCAGTGAAGCGACGTCCTCCACAACTAGACTGAAGAACAAAAGGACAGCAACTTGTCTGTTCCCCTTCCCCGATTCCCCAGTGTTGTTCTCCTCCCCCAATTCCCTAATAAAGTCTTAAAAAAAAAAAAAAAGATTTCCTCCCATGAAAATCCCACTCAAGGGCAAAGGTATAGGAGAAAGGTGGATGTTACCTGGACGTGGTGCTTGACAATGCTGTCGAGCCACCATTCCCTCCCAGAAGTGCCTACCCCACAATTCCTTATTAGTGAGATTAATAAACCCCTATTATTTAAACCACTTTTAGTTAGATATTCTGTCACTCAGCCTCCATTCCACTATCCTGTTATATTTCCTTCATAGCTCTTATCACTATCAGAAAATATCTTATTTATTGATTAGCTACCTTATCTGCCTATCCCCCCACTCCCTCTTCTAGAACATAAACTCCTGAGAACACGACTTTTACCTCCACCATTCACTGCTCTGTCCCCAGGGCCTAGACCATGTCTGGCCAAAGTGCTGTTGTATCTAAATATAAACCAGAGGCTCACAGTTTACTGGGAAAACAGAAAAATAAGCAGTTATAATACAACACAGTGAATGTTTGACTATAAAAAATTTATTACAGTAAAAGACACATTGCTATTAATCCCCCTCAAAATACTCCCTCTCACTTCGAACACACTTATCCCATCATTCTTGCCACTTTCTGAAGCAGTTCTGGAAGTCCTCTTTCATGAGAGTCTTTAGTTGCACTGTCATGGCTGCCTTGATGTTTTGAATCAATTCAAAACGTTTACCTTTCATGGTCATTTTGACTTTGGGGAAGAGCCAGAAGTCACACGGTGCCAGATCCTGTGAATAAGGTGGACGAGGACACACCGTGATGTTTTTAAATTTTTAAAAATTTAAACATTCACCATATTTTTTTTTATCACACCTCATAGTCATCTTAGAGGTAAAAAAATCACAAAAGAGTAGATTTGCTTAGGGACTCTGCATTCTAAAACTGTGTGGCCAGTCTGGTTTCAGACTCCCTGCCCACCCCCACCCCTACCCCCAAACTTTCATAGGTAAAAGTAGAAAATCTATCATTTTCAACTTGTTTTAAAAAGAGAGTACATGTTTTTAAAAGAGATTTAAACCAGAAAATCCTGTTTGAAAGGAATACCTGTGTTTTTGTTTGCAGTTATGCAAATAAAAGCAAGAGCCCTTGTTTGGGGAGGTAACCAAATGCAGATGTTTCAGGAGAAGCTGTGGCCTTTGTTCTGGGTTGGTGAGGACTGCGGCACATGTTTGAGAGAACCCAGTTTTTGAAGCCTTGGTAACTTGTTTGTGGCCTGGATGACTTTTGTGCTGGCTCCTGTGGGGCTAATTGTGCTCTTCTGGGAGCAGTTGCTTGCAAAAAGGACATGCAGGCCCCATCATCAACACCCACTAAAAGGACAGAGCTGAATTTGGCTTTCTCGATCCAGAACTGGCCTGTTTCGTGTCCTTCAGGATGGAATCTCTAGAAATTGTAATCAGGCTAGAATGTTGTGTTTTGATGTGAACATCTCATGAGTTTGAACAATGGAAAACATCCTGTGTTAAAACATTATTGTCCTAAACAACCACGTAAACAAAAATGTACTGATGTTGGACTCTTATTCTCTAACGTGATTATCCTTGTATGTGGGGGGAGCGGAGATGAAGGACTCTTCATTGTGGGGAGCAGAAGTGTCCACTGTCTTAGGAAGAGGGAAATCTTGGGATGAAAGATGAAGGCTGGAGAGATGGGTCTCAGACTGGGGTGAGGAGGGAAATTCCTCTCACCGTTAGGGTAGGGGTCATCATACTTTTTCCTGTAATGACCCAGATAATAGCTATTTTAGGCTTAGCTAAATGTCAGTTGAGCTCAAAAGAATGAGGAGCTTTGGCTTGAAATAAATGACAAAGTTTTGTTCAAGAGTCCTAGGGTTTGCAAACCAAAACCACAAAAAAACTGGGCAATATCTAGAGTGTCTTGATAGGAAAAGAAAAGCTGAGAGTTCTTATAGTAAAAAGTATATTCCTCAGAAGAATCAGTTCTGCATTCTTACCCCCTAGATTGGTTCAAATGGCAATTATAATATGTGTTGTAGTAATCATTGTATGTCCAGTGGTCTAGACCATGGAACATTTTTTGGTGGTGGGGTCATTCAGATGATTAACTGTAGGTTTGGTGTTTGTCCAGTCATTAATGCACAATGCATTGACGTGTACCCAGGTATTTACACAGGACTGGAAAGTTTAAAAATTTAAGTTCCGAAAGTCACTTAAAACAAAAATAATTGTTTCCCTATGCCTCAACTAACTTGAAATAATAATTTAGCAGCTTGACCACAGTGACTTCATTTTATTTCTTCACTCTATTCCTCACTGGTCATGCATAGAGTAGCTGTCACAGCTGCTCAATTCTGGCCTGGTAGTACAAAAATAGCCACAGACAATACATAAATTAATGGCCATTGCTGTGTCCCAATAAAATTTTACAAAACAGGCAGCAGGCTGGATTTGACTCATGGGCCATATTTTATCAATCTCTGCATTGTGGTAATGGGGCCTAGGAACCAGAGAGGGTAGGCATTCCATGGGGATGTAAGCTAACTCCAAGTAGATGCTTGGTCAGGAGCTATGCCAACAAGCTGCCTTCCAGGGCCCTTTAAGGATGTGGGCTGTGAAGACACCTGTTTCTAGTAACAGCTGTAAGATAGTGCTTGTTATCTCTCTCGCTAACTCCTAAGCTTCTTTTTAGGTGGAAGTCACAGCCTTGGCTTAAGTGTGTTGAAGAAAATAAGAGAATGGCCTTCTTCATACTTGGCACCCAGGAGTAAAGGGAACAGCTGTTTCCTGAGCCCAGAGGTAGTGGTGGTACCAGTGGACCCCAGCAGAGGACAAGGTCCCCAGAGAAGGCAAAAGTTGAAGAGTTAAAAGAAGCCCGTACCTGGGAGAGAAGGAGGCAGCAGGTCCCCTAGAAAACGAATACTGAATAATTTCAGACACTTCTCTATAAGGAGGTGTGGGCTTGAGCCATCGTAACTTGAATGCTAAAGGAAAATGAGGGATTTTGTTTGTTTGTTTGTTTGTTTGTAATCACAGGCATTGAAGACTCGACACAGAGTAGTTGGTCAACCAATTGTTCCTAATTGACTGATAGCTACAATCCTGTAGCCTCTACTCAGCACAATGACTGAAATCAACTGGATAAGTCAGAGGAATTGCTTTAATTGTGATCACAAAGTGTTACGCAGAGCTGCTCAGCTTCCGTGCCACCAGGGAGAAAAGTCCTTCATTGTTGGCCCTGGTGGAAGAATAGCTTTGAGAGAGCACCTCAAACTGCTCGATGGTGTAGCCAGCCTGTCTCACAGCAGCCTCTATGGCCTCCCGGCCCAGACAGAGGCTGGAGAACCTCTGCTCGCCAATCATGTAGCAGCTGCTCTTCAGGGCGTCCATGATCACCAGGTAGCCCCCAGGCTTTAGCAGGCTGCTGAGGTTCCTGAGGGCTGTGTGGTAGGCAGGGAGGTCTGGGCAGGCGGCGTCCAAGCACAGCATGCTGAGCAGGCAGTCGGCTTGGGGCAGGGAGACGGCACCCAGCGGCCGGCTCTGAGTGACGTCGCACTTCAGAACCTGCTTGACCGCCCTCCTCAGCTTCTCCTCCTTCTCTGTCCTCTTCACTCTGAAACGCAAAAACCAATAAATGCCGTGCTACCCCACTTGTGGGGACCCCAGGTCATGTTGGTCAGGGCTGAAAAGGACTGTATTGTCACAAATGTTATAGCCTTCGTGCCATCCCTGTTGTAAAAGCAGAGAAAGAAAGAAGAAATGAGGGACCATTTTTGGCATCTGAATGTGACCACATTACCCTGTGCTGGATTAAATCTCTTTATAAAGTGAATCACATGAAAATGATAATAAAAATACCTAGCTGCCTGCTTTTATACTGGACTGCTTATCATAGTGCCTGGCTCATTTATTATTGTTAATTATTATTACCCTTGTCCTCTGCCAAACTGCAAGGTAGTGGCCATCTGACCCATACATATCAGGTAATAGTGGGTTTAAAATGCTGACATGGTATTTTTTAGTAGCTGCTGGTCAATGAAGGGAGTGAGGTCATCTGTAGACATTTTTAGAAACTGTTGATCACTATCACACAGCTGTGGCCAGGGCCCCTGAGAGGGAAGAAAACTTCAGGTTTACACTCTTGGGCTCCAAAACATACTGCAGAGAGTGTGTTTTCTGAAGGAGATTATTTTCTTGGTAGTCTTGCTGGGAAGCCTATCCTTTTCTGCTAAATCAATGGGGTGTCTTGAGAGAAAATCAGTTAACGAAAGGAACAGAGAAGGAAAGGGCAGGAGATGAAAGAGAGTGCCATGGATCCTTTTGGAATTTGTTAGGGGAGGAATGAAGGAACAAACTGACAAGTGAACAGAATTAAACAGACATAGAATGCACAAGACAAACTGGAGAAGCAGACAAAAGAGAAAGAAATAGCATTAAATCAGCGAGGTGAGAGAAAGGGAAGAAATGAGTGTGTAAAGTGCCCACAAAAGCCACAGAACCCAGATTATAGGAGTGATGTCTGAGTATCTAGCATTTTGAGGAAGTTAATCAACAAAACATTGGGGTTACAAATCCAGGCTTACATTCAGAGAACACATAGTCCCTTGGCTCCAGGAGAAGACAGTCACTTGGGCAACAAAGTTTGATGGAGAGAGCAGAGGATGGCCCCATATCAGAGCAGGGGAGAGAGACGCTTGTACTGAGACCATTTTCTGGTTATGTCAAATAGTCAATGGTTTAAATAAAACTTGGAGATTTACCTTTAGCTAGAATGATTTGAGATAATAGCAATTATTTGTGGATACCTATTTAAATATTTAGTTAAAATCTTAAGCCTACTGCATCTAATCCGTTTTTACAAATACCCTTTATGTTTGTTATAATTTCCCATTTAAGAAGCTTAGCAATAAGCATATGAAAAGATGTTCACCATCTTTGGCCATCAGAGAAATGCAAATCAAACTATGAGATACCGTTTCACATTCACTAGAGTGGCTATAATAAAGAAGACAGATAATAATAAGTGTTGGCAAGGATGTGGGGAAACTAGAACCTACACACGCTGCTGATGAGAATGTAAAATAGTCCAACTGCTTTGGAAAACAGTCTGAAAGTTCCTCAAACATATATAGAATTACCATGTGACCTAGGAAGCCTACGCATATGTTTCTACCCAAGAGAAATGAAAACATGCTCACACAAAAACTGGTACATAAGTATTTATAGCAGCTTCATTCATAATAGCCAAAAGATGGAAACAATCCAAATGTCCATCAACTTTTGAATAAAATGTAGTATATCTATCCAATGGACTGCTATTCAGTAATAAAAAGGAACAAACAACTGATACAGGTCACAACATGGAAGAACCTTGAAAACATTATGCTCAGTGAAAGAAGCCAGACACAGAAGGCCACATATTGTATGATTCTATTTATATGAAATATCCAGAAAAGGCAAAGCTATAGAGACTGAAAGCAGACCAGTGGTTGTTAGGTGTTGAGAGGAAGGGAGAAATGGGAGTGGGTACTAATGGGTACAGGGTTTGTGTAGGGAGTTAGGAAAATACTCTAAGATTGTGGCAAGGATTGCACAACTCCATGTATATAATAAAAGCTATTAAATTACACATTTTAGATGGGTGAATTGTATGTTATGTGAATTTTATGTCAGTAAAGTTGTTATATTAAAGAGAGAGAGGGAGAGAGAGATTGAGAAAGAGAGAGAAAAAGCTTAGCAAGGTATTTTTTTCAGGGAATTCTTACCAACCAATAAAATGATACATACAAGAAATAATAATTAGTATAGTATGGGAGTGGAGTCAAGGGAATTGTAATAGATATGTATGATATTGGGGGGAAGTGGGGTGACGGATTGGGGGAGGGGGTTGTCACTTTGAGGGGTAAAAAGTATAACTATTGCACTGTGTTGTACAGCTGAAACTAATTCTTAAAAAGGTGTATTTCAGGGCCGACCGAGTGGCGCATTGGTTAATAGCTGGCTTGGGATGCCAGAGGGCCCCGGTTCAGATCCCACATATGAGGGCCAGTGACACTGCCCTCTACAGCTAAGATGCTGAACAACATCTCAANCAAGTTGCTGTCCTTTTGTTCTTCAGTCTAGTTGTGGAGGATGTCACTTCACTGGCCCATGTTGGTATTGTGATCATTGCGCTCTTCCCTGGTGAGGCAAATCAGTCACCAGCCATTGGATGGCAGCTCATGCTGGCTCACGGCAGCTCATGCCAGCTGCTGGCTGCTCACGCAACCACCGTCTCTTTTGACTGGCACATTAAATCCATTTACATTTAAAGTAATTGTTGATAGATATGTAGTTATTGCCATTTTATTATTAATATTTTTATCTTTTTAAAATTATTCTTTTTCTTCTAAAAGAAGTCCCTCTAACATTTCTTGTAATGCTAGTCTGGTGGTGATGAACTCCTTTTCTTTACCTGTCATTTGATTCTAAATGATAGCTTTGCTGGGTACAGTAATCTTGGTAATAAGTCCTTGCTTTTTATCACTTTGAATATTTCATACCAATTCCTTCTGGCCTGCAGTTTCTGTTGAGAAATCAGCTGACAGTTTTATGGGAGCTCCCTTGTAGGTAACTGAGTACTTTTCTCTTGTTGCTTTTAAGATTCTCTCTTTGTCTTTAACCTTTGGCATTTTAATTATTATGTGTCTTGGTGTGGGCCTCTTTGGGTTCATCTTGTTTGGGACTCTGTGCTTTCTGGGCTTGTATGTCTATTTCTTTCACCAGGTTAGGGAAATTTTATGGCATTATTTCTTCAAATAGGTTTTCAATTCCTTGCTCTCTCTTTTCTCCTTCTGGTATCTCCATGATGTGAATGTTGGTATGCCTGATGTTGTCCCAGAGGCCCCTGAAACTACATTTTTTTAAAATTCTTATTCTTTTTGATGCTCTAATTGGGTGTTTTCTGTTACCTTATCTTCTAAATCACTGATTCAGTCTTCTGTTTCATCTAATTTGCTGTTGATTCCCTCTAATGTATTCTTCATTTCAGATATTGTATTCTGCATTTCTGACTGGTTCTTTTTTTATGTTTTCTATCCCTTTGTTAAAGTTCTCACTGAGTTCATTTACTCTTTCCCTAAATTCATTAAGCATCCTTTTGAACTCCATGTCTGGTAGATTGCTTGTCTCAATTATTTTTTTTAGTTCCTTTTCTGGAGCTTTTTTCTGTTCTCTCATTTAGGACATGTTTCTTTCTTACCCCATTTTGCTGCCTTCCTGTGTCTNGGTGCCAACTTGGGCCAGTGAAGCAACGTCCTCCACAACTAGACTGAAGAACAAAAGGACAGCAACTTTTCTGTTCCCCTTTCCCAATTCCCCAGTGCTGTTCCCATCCCCCCAATTCCCCAATAAAAATCTTAAAAAAAAAAAAGAGTTTGAGCTCTAAAAAAAAAAAAAGTGTATTTCATAATAAAAAATAATTTAAAAAGAAGAAATAATAAGTACTTTTAATTAGCTCTACCTGTTTCCCTATCAAGGGTAAAAATGGTAGTAGGGTGACCAATTTGCCCTGATTGGTCTGAACTTTTCCGGTTTTCTCACTGAAAATCCCGGGTCCTGGGATTTTCCAGCTCAGTTCTGGCAAACCAGGAAAGACAGTCATTCTAAAAGTAGGAAAATCATTTACAAAGCTGCCACCCAGCCTGATAGGAATTGGATAATTTGACAGAATCTTTTAGGAATAAAAAACAATAATTCAACATTATGGAAGTCTGTGTGAAACATGGATTTGAATGGGCAAATTAACCTAGACTAGAAACAACTCAAATAACCTATCTGTACACGTGGATAACTTAAGTGTACACATAAAGCTAAAGACATGACAGTATAGTGTTATTTTGAATGTGTTTAAGGATGATCTTCTATATTGGGAACATTTGGGGAATCTGTATTTATTTAAGTTATTACATCAGAAGCAGGCTGGATCTCTGTGCCCTATCGTTTATTAAGCTATTTAAAAACACAAGTTACCACAGAACTACTACTTGCCAGTCAGATGATGATGGAAATTGTTCCCAAACTGTGAGACACACTGGGAAGTCTACAAAGCTCACAGTGAATGTGCCAATTTGAAAGGAAAATTTGTTAGAAACACCCACCGTTGTGGATATCTGCTTGTCCTTGGACGTATAGCAAACATCGGTGAATTCAGTTGCCAAGGCAGCTGTGTAAAGATTACACCTCAGGGCTCCTCGGGGCCTGCAAGTTCACCCGCAGGGAAATGGACTTACCTGGAGACACAGGCAATTACCACTCAGCCTCACATTTAGCTCAAGGGGTAGGTTAAAAAACACACACTAGAAAACTGTTATACAGTTTTTCAGAAAGCTAACAGCAGTGTGGCCATTTCTTTAGTTCTAAAGATCTACTCTTCAAATGAATCAATATGCAAAAAAAAAGGCAGCCATTTCCTCTATAAATATGTTATCTATAAAAGCCTGAGGAATCAGGGGAAGGAGGGGAGGAATGAAGGATAAAGAGTAGCACTCCTGGGAAGAGCACTTTGAAGAATGTCTTTCCATATCCCAGGTAATTATCCTGAGATTTAGAGGAGCTTTCTCCTGCCTGGTTCCTGCCAGGCAGGTGGTGCATCAGAATCCCCTGGACAGGCTTTTTTTTTTTTTATTACACTCACCTACCCCAAACCTCATCCCCAGAGGTTCCAGCTGGGCCTCCTGAGAGAGAGCCACCAAAACGTGTAAAGGAAATAAAAAAACTAAATAAGCTTGGAGGTCAATGTAAGAATTAACTCAAGGAATAATCATTGGTAAACCTTTGGTACAGGCCACAGCTAAATCGGGTAAAAGACATTCTAGGAGGGAGACTCTAGAAAGTAAAATGCATGCAGTCATTTATTTTACAAATATTTTTTGAAACTCTGTTATTTTGTGCCAGGAAGAGTGCTGGGCAATGGGACCCCAAGGTGGAACAAATGCGAAACAAATCTTATCTTCATGGGGTGTACAGTTTTGTGGGGGAGAAAGAATTAATCCAATGATCATCCACAAAAATGGAAAATTAAAGCTATGGTAAATGCTAGGGAGAGGAGGGACATGGCTCTAATGGAGAAGTGTTGGGACTTGACTTGGTCTAGTATCAGGAAAGGTTTCTCCAAAAAGGGGTCAGCTAAGCAGAGATAGGGAGGATAAATAAGTAGGAGATAACTAGGCTAAAGGGAGGAGGGAGGGGAAGACAATATTCCAGTAAGAGGAATTAGCAAGTGCAAAGGCATGCACTTGCAACACCTACATGCAAAGGCCATGTGATGGGAGGAAACTTGGAGAGGAGAATGCCAATGAGGCTAGATCTCAGATAGCAAAGCAGAGCATGGCAGAAAGTAAGGCAAATGGGGCCAGAAGGTGCCAGACGAGGCAAGGCTTTGTGGACTGCATTAAGAATTTTGCCATGGGGAGTCATTCAAGGAATCCCAAGGAAGGGAGCCTAAGGAAAGGAGCAATGTGATCAGATTTACATTTTGAACTAACTGTAGTGGAATTATATTGAAGGTAGGAGGCCAGTTAAGAGGGAATGAATGGTAGCTTGGACCAGGGTGATGAAAAATATGGAAAGAAAGCTACTGGTTGAAGAGAAACTCAGGAAGTAAAATGCACAGAACGTGGTGCTGGTTTTAGAACATGACTGAGAGGGAGATGACAAGGTTGGCTTCCAAGCTTCTGGTTTGTCCAATTAATTATATGATGGCACCATTAAAGGAGATGAGAACACCAGAAATGGAGCAGATTTGGGGAAGATTATAGTTCGATTTGGGGCATCTCTCATTCTCCCCTAAACTCCTCTAATCCATTCTCCATACAATAGCCAGAGAAATCTTTGTAAATGTAAACTGGGTCACATTACTCTCTTGGTTATACCTCTAATGCATTCTTGTTACACTTGAGGTCCACAATCTTTCACTTGGCCTTGAGGCCCCAAATGATCTGGCACTTGCCTACCTTCCCTTATGTAAGCTCTAGGAGACAAGAGACCTCCTCTGTCTTATTTACCATTCTATCTTAGTAGCTAGTACTGTGGCACATCATAGGTGATCAACATAGGTTTGTTGAATGAATGATCAAATGCTAGCTCCTTTAACCATGAACCGAAAGTGTTAGTTAGCACTTGTCTCTTGAGGGGGATTGTCTTGTCAGGAATTAGAACCCTTTCCTGATCAAATTATGGGATATGTTAATAAAAAATATATATGCTTTCCCATCATGAATGAAAAGACAATAAAGGAAAGACAGAGGATGTTGTGCAACACACAAAGTATGCAATATATGAGCAAAGGGGGCAATATAGGAATATGGGGGAGGGAGAGAAAGATTTCATGTGAACGTTAAATCCTGGGTACAGACAGTGGGAAATGACAGGAAAAATGTTAAACAACAACAAAAAAAAAAGCAAAAAATAAGAGCAGGGGAGAAAAAAAGTAAGTATAACTGATCATATAAGAAGTAGCAGACAGGGCCAGCAGAATCCTAGGAAAAAACACTAAAGTGGTCTTTTTATGCAGTTTCTAAAAAAGTCTGTGGGTGCTTGGCAGAATGCCTACCAGCAAAGACATGAAGCCCCAAGAGCTGATGGTTGAATGGGCAGGAGATTTGGAGGTACATCAGGACAAGAGAATGACAGAACTGATCACCCTGGGCTAGTAAGCTATTGCCAATTTCTCATGTGGGGAGAAATAATAATTTAAACTCAATTTGTTTGCATAAGTTTACTTGTAGATAGGATAGTATCAGACTTTGGTCATTAGTTGTGAGTATGTAAAGCTCTAATAGATGGTGAGTAACAAGTTCTTTTATAATTCCTTTGTGCTGCTAAACTCATTTTAAAAACATAGTTGGCTTTTTGTCGTATCTGGTGGTGTCAGCATTAGCCACCCTTACAGCAGAGTTTTATAGGCTTGGATGGCTAGCCACAGAATGGGGGACAAGCACCAATACTCAAAAGCTGCTAGTGAGGATCTGGTTTCACCTCTTGAAGTTGGCCTAAAATGAGGTCCTAAGGTACCTGGCTTTCACACTGAACCCACACACAGGCCTGGGAAGGTTTTGTGTCCATTCCTCTTGGGTCCGTATCCATCTCTTCAACTCTCTCCCTATCTCTTCTGTAGTTTTGGTGTGCACGTGGGCGCGCGCGCGCGCGCGCGCGCGCGCGCACACACACACACACACACACTCACACACTCACATACGTCTGTCTTGTTCTTGCTCTCTCAATCTCCACTTGGATTTCTCTTTGTTCTCTCTCTTTCTGTCTCCTTTGCATTTCAACTTGGACTCAAAGGATAATTCTTGGTTCTGAAAAGCAAATTGTCGGGCCAGCCGAGTGGTGTGATGGTTGGGAGCTGGCTTGGGATGCCAGAGGATCCTGGTTCGGATCCCACATATGAGGGCCAGTGACACTGCCCTCTACAGCTAAGATGCTGAACAACACTCAACCTGGAGCTGGGCTCCCGTGAGTCACTGGCTACCGCGTAGGCTGCAGCCCCTACTGCAGTGGGTTGCCATGGGCTACCGTGTGTAGCCAGCAGCCACCGTGAGCGGCCGTCCAGAAGCCGGCGACTGATCTGCCTCGCCCAGGAAGAGCGCAATGATGGTGCCAACTTGGGCCAGTGAAGCAACGTCCTCCACAATTAGACTGAAGAACAAAAGGACAGCAACTTGTCTGTTCCCCTTCCCCCAATTCCCCGGCGCTGTTCCCATCCCCCCAAGTCCCCAATAAAAATCTTTTAAAAAAAAGAACAAAAAACCTGTCACTCAAGTACCCTCAGAAAGCCCAGAAGCAGACCCCAGTTTCTCTACCTGTTCCCTTCGAGCTCACACACATAGGCCGTCACTGGCGACCAGTCGAAGGCCCCTGGCTCCTTCTTCAGCCACTTCTCCAGCTCCTGCAGGTTCTGATCAGCGTAGTCAGTAGCAATGATCTCCTTGAAGGATTCACAAGCAGAGAGGAGCTGATAGATGGTGGGGCCAGAGCCAATGTCAATCAGGAGGTTCCCCTTCACGCCACCTGGTTTAGAGGAAGAAATGGGGAAGGGGTGTCAGGCATTATGTGGTGGCAGATAGAGCTGCTTTGCATTGTCTTTGTGATGAAGAACCCCAAGAAGAGCCCCGAAGACAGACCACCCCTCTCATACTAATGAACCATTGTTACTCACTCCTGTTCCATCAAAGTCTTCTTTTAAAACAGCTTTTCGTTTTCTATCCCCTAATCCAGGGTAAAGGCATACTGCTAGGATAGTTTTAGGTGTAGAAGGAAAAAATAATCTACATCTGGTGAACAGACCTCTGATCCGGAAAGACTGCTACACAGCGAATGTCAAAACTATTAAAGAATACTTTGGGGGGAAAGTTAAATCTTTTTAAAAAATTGAATTTATATAATGTCTTTATCCAAAAAGCATCCAGTTCTTCATTTGTTGGGAAGTCTTTATCTGAGGCATATTCACAACATTCCTTTGAGCTAGGAACAGAATAAATATTAGAATCTCCATTTCTTAAGTGACCCATCATGAGGGTTAAATGGCTGGCTCTGGTCACCTAGCAAATCGATGTAGAATCAAGGACAGAACTCCCAACCTCTGTTTTCCCCTTTGTATTACCAAACAAGATAATGCATATAAGAAAGCATTTTGTAAACTGTAAAATATCATACCAACATTAGTTTCTTATCCTAGTTAAATAAATAGGTGATGCTAAAGGGCTGTCAAATAACAATAACTAGACAAAAGCCCAGTCATGCCCCGAGACCCTATTTAGATGACACATCCAAGCCCATAGGCATCAGGGAGGGGCAGGAAACACAGACAAACAGCAAACAAACTTACCTAGGCAGAATATCTTGAAAAGAGTTTTCAGAAGGAACCTAAGAATCTGGTTTTCTGCAGAGTTTGTGGACCCAAAGCTGTAATATTTTTCTAGGTAATCTCGAGGGTTAAAATGGCTCAGATAAGTGTCCTTGGAGGTGAAGCCAGGTTCCATGGTGTCTCCCTCCTATGTCGCCCGTCCACTGCCTTAACTTCCCTTTCCTCCAGAAGCCGGGGACTCACCCTGCCAAAACTGTTTGCCTGAGTTTCACGCTTTCAGCTTTTCTTCTGTCAGTTCAGCCCACGCCTTAGAAACAGATGTCTGGTTAAACACTAACTAAGAGAAATATACCAAAAGTGTTTTGGCTATTCTAGGAAGTGATGAAATTTCTGGGGAAGGAATCCTAGGGAAAGGAGGGAGTGGCAGGGGGAGGGACACAATGCTGGCACGGGGTGAAGCTCAGTTTGTAAGGGATTCTAGAGGGGAGAAATCAACTGGGCTCATCAGTGAAATGATTTAATTCTTAGAAGAACCACTAAGTTCAGAGAGGTGGGTCATCTCCTCACAGCACCATTCTTCTTCTCTTCTTTCAGTGATTCTCTCCAGAAAGAGAGCCACAAAGAATGGTTTAAATTTAAATTTGTTAAAGAAAGAAAAGTAAAGAGGGAAAAGAAGAGGACAGGAAAGGTGTTCAAGACTGAGGAATGTTGGCTGAAGAAGAAACCTCAGATGAAATCTGGAAGAAGGCAGGGCCAAAGAGCAATTTAAAAATCCTGGATGAGGCTTCTTCTAACGTCTATGGCAGCCACAGTCTGTAATTCTCTCCTTGTGCCCCACACATACCTCTCCATCCCCTCCCTATACATCTGCAGCTTCACCCACCATTGCCATCTCTCAGCATCTGGCATACGCTTCCTCCCCAAGTCTCCCCACTCCTTTCAGTCAATCCAAATCCTGACAGTTCTTTCAAAGTGAACTTTAAGCCGCCTATTTCCTATAAGAACTCCTTAAATTTCCTTTTCTGAACTCATTTCCCTTAGCCAAGCGCTTGATTCTGTAGTGTCATGTATTTGTTTCCACTTTTGTCTGTGCTAATTTCATTTCCTGACAAAATTTTATTTTATTTTATTTATTTATTTAATTGGGGGATTTGGGGGAGGGGAACAGTGTTAGGGAATTGGGGAAGGGGAACAGACAAGTTGTTGACCTTCAATCTTAGTTGTGGAGGATGCGGCAAGCTCAGCTCAAGGTGCTGTGTTCAATTAGTTGCAGGTGAGCATAGCCACCATCCCATGCGGGAGTCCTACCGGCAGCCTTTTTGTTAAGAGCGTGCACTTTATCCTCTGAGCCACCCGGGCAGCAGCTCAGCTCAAGGTGCTGAGTTCAGTCTTTAGTTGTGGGTGGGCATAGCCCACCATCGAACAGGCAACCTTGTTGTTAAGAGCACATGCTCTCACCAGCTGAGCTATCCTGCTGCCAACAGCTCAGCTTTGGCGCAGCTCACTGGCCCATGTGGGAATCGAACCGGCGACCCTGCTGCTCAGAGCTCGCACTCTTGAGCAAGCTCTTAACCAACTGAGCCACTTGGCCAGCCCCTGAATGAAATTTTAGAAGTATGATAGACTGAACCACCAGCTCTTTCGGATAAAAAACCATGGCTCTGCTCTCTTTATATCCCCTATTGAACATCGTAGGTTGGTCTACCTAGTAGGTGTTCAAAACACTGGTTGATTAGTACACTGTTGTCATATTGCACCAAATACAATTGTAGTGAGTGTCCAATAGTCTATGGGTGATGACAGTAAGTTACAAGGCACAGAAATTTATTCAAAGAACCCCAAGTAAAAAGGGAATTATTAAAAGGGGAATATGATGGAAACAAATTGCAGGGTATCTAACTGTGTCCCATGAACCAAAACATCATTAGGCAGCTAATGTCTGTCTGTCTGTCTGTCTGCCCCCCCACCCCTCCCGGCTAGAGGTCTCTATCCCCTGAAAACTAACTTCTTCTTTTGCTCATCTAGTACATATGGCTCCGTTCTGGCTATTCCAAATGGTGGCTACTACACCTGAAGTATCAGAACCTTCTAATTCATCTCCTTACAGCTGGCTGACTAGGTCTGCACAATCCAAGCACAGATACCTTAGAGAGAGAATCTACCTGTTCCAGCTGGGACAGTCATTGGTCCTCCCCCAGTAAGCGGTGGTGGAGGGAATAAAGGATATCTGTGTGATATTAAGAGCACCCATTGCAGGAATGTAGATGGGACAGAAAAATTTTTTCAGGTCATTGCAACTGTTTGATCTTCAAATGTCAAATCACAGATTTGAAAGGTGTAGAATCAAAACAATGTGTTTCTGTAAAAGTTCCAAGGCACTGTTGCTGCAGTGCTGACACACTTCCTGCTTCTTCTGACTGTCCTGTACAACAGGAAGCATCAAGAACTCAAAGTCAAAAGACACACATTGCCATCCTGATTTGCCACCAACAATTTGTATGAAAATGGCAGTTAGGAAAACTAACTTTTGAGATTGTTAAGCCTCAATTGTGATATATAAAATAGGGATAATGGTATAAAGGGGTGGGATTCCCCTCTATCCTCTTAGGGCCTCTGGCTGGGTATAAGAACTAAACCTACATAACACCTATGTCACATAACAGGAGAAAAGCATACAAATTTCATTAATTTTTTACGTATACATGTGATTCTTTACCCGAGAATGAAGACCCAAAGATGTGACCATAGCGGGAAGCTTTTATACCTCTTAGATAAAGAAACAATGCATTTGTGAAGAATTAACAAGACAAAGGGGTTTGGATTAGGGATAAAAAATGGTAAAAAAGGAATTAGGAAGATAAGCCTTAGTTTAACAACATTTGGTTTACAGCTTTCCCCATCTCTGATGACAAGAATGTCTTCCTTCTTCTTGGTACAGAGAGGTACCTTTCATTTGAGAATTTTATCTCATGCTTTAAGGAAGAAAAGGGAGGGTTAGAGTATCCTTCTTGCATCTACTCTTTATTAAGTGCCTTTAATTCAAACTAAACAGAATGCCAAAGTGACATATTTTGGGGTGATATATTTTGGCTTTGTTCAATAGTATCCGTTTTGTTCAGAGTTCTCTGTTCAATGTATTGAGAAATTTAAATCGTGGCTTCCCTTACATTGAATCCTTATCTTGGGAAAAGTACCCTATTCCCACTTATGGGTCAATTTAACAGGGAACTTTAAAAATAGTAGTTATAAAGCTTATATATGACTTTGATATTTTGCCCTCCATCCATCATTACTTTTTCCACCCTTTTCAGAAACCACCAAGATTTATAGTCAGAATCAGATTTCACTATAGACAGAAATCTGCTCCCTCATACTGGCCTTCCACTCACTCTTATGTGAATGTTCATTATGATTATGAATGTATGAATGCAAATATACAGAAAGAAACAAAGAGCAAGAATGAAAGAGGGAAGGAGGAAAGAAGAGAAAGAAGGAGAAATGAAAGAAGAAAAGAAAGCATGCTATTCCCATATAGCTCGGGAGCATGGTTTACTGGTGGCTGCTTTTCCCATGTAGTCTCCTGGTAAAGCATTTTGTTCATTGTCTCTCAGGTCATGACCTCATGAGAAAATAAGTCTATTATGCTTGAGTGCACAACAGATCAAGATAGTATATCACTCTTTCTCGAGATACCAGAGTCTAGACTCCAGAGATTTCTAGATCAAATCAGTTGTTAGGATATACTATACAAACCCAAAATATAAAAATTGCTTACATTGTTTTTAAAAAAGTACCACATCTAACATCAGTTTCCAGTAATATGTCTGACTAGCTCTCAAGACATACACTCTTCCTGAAAACCACTAAAAATGCTGATATATAGAGATAGATGTCATATTTTATTATCTATCTATATAGATAGATAGATAGATAGATAGATAGATAGATAGATATAGTAGTTGAGGAGTTAAACAGAATTTAGACACAATTGAAGAGAAAATTTGTAAATTGTAAACTAGGCTAAAAGAAATTATCCAAAATGCCGCAGAGAAAGAAAGAGAAATAGTAAATATAAAAAAGAAAGTTAAGAGTCATAGAGTATGGAGTGAAAATGTCTAACATATGTCAAATTGGTGTCTCTGGTAGAGAGGAGAAATAGAATGGATCAGAGTAAAATTTGAAGAGATATCAACTCTGATGAACAACACTATATCGGTTAGAGTCTAGTCCAGAGACAGAAACCACACCAGTAATTTGAACTGGAAAAATGTAATGTAAAATTTATATAAAAATTACTAAGTAAGTTAAACAATGGTGAACTACTAAGAGGCTAAAACAGACCTCTAAGGTGTAATAGGTGACAGATGCAGTAAACTTCTGGAGATAATGGAACAAGGGAACCAAGGAAAAACTTAGAAACTTAGGGTGCAGACTCATAGAACTGAGAGTCATAGCTCTGATGAGAAAGGACAGCTGCTGCAGGAATGCTGGCCACCTCAGGAACCCAGGAAATGCCAGGGATTAGCCATGCATTAGCCACAGCGCAGTGAAGATAATCATTCCTAAAGACTGCTTACAATATTGCAAGACCACAACCAGACCTCAGAGGGAAAAAAACAAACAAACAAAAAACCCAGGAAGTAACAAGTCTCTTCCTCTTCCTCTTCCTCAAGCCTTGCATGTCCCTCCAGCACCCTCTATTGGCAGAATGTACCATAGAGGCAGCTGGCAAAGGAAAATTAACTGTGTTTGCCAAGTCCAGCTCTCACATCACAAAATACAGACAGATGGGCTGGAGCTGTAAAGAAATGAATTCATAACTGGCACAGATATCAATATACAACATCAATGATAAGTAATATTTATTGAGCACTTATTTTGTGCAGGTACTAGCCTATGTGCTTTACAAATATTAACTCACTTAATCCTTATAACAGTTCTATGAAAGATTACATTTAGAAGTCCAGTGACTCCTAAGCAAGGCATGCAGAATGCAGCCTTCTCCTGGACATTTTATTGATAAAACTGCAGAACAAGGAAGACTGAAAGAAGATATTAAAAACATCCAGAAAACACCCAAGACTATGTGAAGATTTTGAAAACATCTAGAGATAAAAACACTGATGATCTTTGAAGAATGGCAATTACACTGAGAGCTGATTTGGCAGTGAGAAGACAGGAAAATGATATCATCAATGTGCTAAAACAAAATACCTATAAATGTAATTATAGAATCAGAAAAAGTCTTTCAAGAATCAGGGCAAAATAAAGACATTTTCAGCCAAAAAAAGGAAGGGGAGGTATAGTAGGTCATCTCTAAT